ATAAAATATTATTAATATGTCGGGTAGCAATAGATTTATTTATTTTCTTCTCAAGAGAGTACCAGAATGGGTATTTTATATGTTAGTATTTCAAAAAATCTCCGGGGGGAGAATCCCCCTAGACCCCCCTTCTGGGGTTGGGTTTTCAGCACATGTGCCTTTTTATGTTAAACAGTTCAGTTTTGATTCCATCATCTCATTAAACCTTATTTAAAAGCATACTTTAAGTTCTGTGAAGGGATATATGCACTGTATTTCACTTTAATTAATAATGCTGAAAAGAGTATATATTACTGCACGATTTTTTGTTGAATAGATTTGAGTGGTTCAAAATTTTGGGTCGCGATCTATTGACTAAGGAAAAAGTGGGTCCCGAGGCCTGACCAGTTGAGAACCACTGGTTTAGACAGTCTTTTGTGAATATGGGTACTGGTCCACTTGATGTGCGATCAGAAGAGGAGGGCAGTTATACTTCTGATGAAATACAATGTGGATACTGAAAATATGCTATTTGGACAACACAGCGTTCCCATTATAGAATGTTTATGCCAATGAGCACAATTGTTACTACAGGTTTTTTTTATTTGATTGTTTTTGTAGAGCACTTGCCTATTTTGAAATGTGCTGTGTAAATAAACCTGCCTTGCTGAGGAACAGCAACCAAAGACCTGTGGGGCAAACCTGATTGTTGCTCTGCTGCAATAGTAGCTCATACTGCATTTATCGTAGAATGTCTCTAGGAGCGTTGTTAATGTTGTGTCTATTTGTCAGGCTGCCACAAAGAAGCAAAAGTATGAGAAAATCTCTGAGAAGAAGATGTCCACCCCTGTTGAGGTCCTCTGTAAGGTAAGAACATGTCGATCATGGAGCGTGATAAAAGTTCCTCCGCCACATTCACACAACTCAATGTATGACTTGATGTTTTCAGGGTTTCCCAGCTGAGTTTGCCATGTATCTGAACTACTGCCGCGGCTTACGCTTTGAGGAGGCTCCAGACTACATGTACCTGCGCCAACTGTTCCGCATCCTTTTCAGGTAAACACATTCTACATATACACAAGGAAAAGGCAATTTTTGCTATGGCATGTCTTGATACCAGGGTTGATGCAGGTCAGTCTTCGGGACCACTTCGGACAAAATGAATTGTAAACAAATTAGTCAAATATTCACTAAAGGCAGCATCAGTCCATCATTTGTGCTGGATAAAATGATGCCGTCACAGCTAATAAATGCATATGTCTTGGTCTATGATTTATGTAGTATACATGAACAAATGAAGCTTCATTGAGTGCAGAACAGTTTCTATTCTTTCACCATATTCTGTGTTTTTCTTCCTGCTATTCTTAAGGACTTCTTCCCCTTCAAGCAGCTGACTGTTGTTAATATTGTGCTGGCATTGTGTTTCCATTTTATTTCTGAAGGACTCTGAACCACCAGTATGACTACACATTTGACTGGACCATGCTGAAACAGAAAGCAGCCCAGCAGGGGGCCTCCTCCGGGGGCCAGGGCCAGCAGGCACAAACCCCCACAGGCAAGCAAACTGACAAACCCAAGCCTAACATGAAAGGTTAGTAGCAAACAGCCAAGCGACGTTTATTACAGACACCAATTGCTCATATATATATATATATATATAAATATAAATATATATTCAGTTTAGTAAAAAGGGAGTACTTTAGATACTGTTTTATATCCTAACCCACACCCCAGTGCCCTTTTTTTATTTATTTTTTAAAAGAGTAAAACACCAAATTTGAACTCAAAAGCAAAAGTAGCTAATTATTCCTTTTTGAATAATGAAGCCAAAAAGTATTACAAGTTTTAGGAGGCACCTTTTTTAAAGAACAGAACATCCCAAATAAAACAATTTAATACAATTGGTCTGTCTTGCAGAAGCAAGCACGTCCTTGGGGAATTTGACTACTAACTTTGTTGCCATGCTATTCCGTTCCTTTTGTTGGGGTTGGAAAACAGACTCTTTGTTACCACACTGTTTTAATGCTGACCAACTTCCCAACACTCCTCTGACCCTTCTGCAGTCTGTCTTTATTAACATTTCCTCTCTAAACTGGAGCTTTTTAAAGACCTATTCTTTCCGCTTCCTTCCTCTCTCAACCCTTGTGTATTTGACCGCAACATTATTCAGGGTTCTTATAAAGAACCCTGAATAATGTAATACAAATCTTAAAAAGTCTTACATTTAATTTAAGGCCTTAAATATGATTAAAAATAAGAAAGGTCTTAAAAATGATGGGATTTGAAAGGTACTTCTGTGTTGCGATAGCATCTAAATGTGTTTTGGGGGAAATGTCCGGGCTGCAAAGTAACCAGTACGGTAATAGCCTTTCAGTTCCCCCCCAACAATTTGTATTGAAATAAATCAACATGGAACCAGTAATAATCACTAACTTTGTTTTCCCCGGCCCCTTATCGGAGAACACCCAGCTAGTAACCTAGCAACCCCAAGCTTCAGCTAGCAGCAGTCAAAGCACCTTTTGCAAAGAAATGTAGCGTTTTTTTGTGCAAATGTAGCGTTAGCTAGTGCAGCAGCTCCCGCAACAACATCAGGGATAATGGACCTCCGTGCAGGTCTATGTCAACGCTAAAAGCGGAGGGGCTGTGGACGCTAAATACCGTAGCTAAACACCAATCATACAACCGCATGTCATGCAGGTGAGGCTCAAGGAGTATTGGCTCCTCAGGGCTGGACTGAAGGTCACTATCTCCACTCTCACTCTCCTTTGTGGCAAACATCAATCCGCCCCGGGGTGTTCTTGGGGAAACAATGATAAATACATTAAGTTACTTGTAATAACAATAATAACTCGCCATAAGGAAAGTTGTAGTGAGTGTTTAGAGACTCAGTTCAACAAGCCCGTCCACCAGCAGGAATATCTCTTTGTGAAGGCATTGTGGTGTGGTGAGGTGCAGCATGGAATATTACACCTGGGAAGGCAGTCTGCAAAACATAAAATAAGTTTGGAAAAACATTGGCTCTCTCTAAAAAGTTATCCTTTTAAAAATATATATATATATTTCAGCATGCATTTAATTAAGTGCTGCAACGTTTTTATCATTCTAATTGTTAAAACTTGAAATCTAATATTATTATTTTGTATGCAAATGTTCAGTATGTCAGTTCCAAGTATTGGTGGTCGGATTCTGTGATTGCTAATAATTGGTATTGAAAGAATTGTCTCACCCCTTCATTTCTGTGGATACTTGGTACACCATTAACCAGGGACTGAGCAGCTCTGTGGACTTCAGGTCCCCTTCTCCCCCGGTACTGAAGCTGCAGCAGAGGGGCTGCAGATAGAATGTTGATGCACTGCAGAGTGATAGAACAGAGCCAGAGGGGGGGCTCTGAGCAGCACACATTTCCAGTCTCTCAAAAACATCCTGTGGGGACAGGAAATAGTTTTTAATGCCGGGGTGTTTCAAGTAGAAGTGTTAATGAAATAAAGTTATGTTAAATGAATAAGACTTCTACTTCCAAAGTAGCCTCCCCACTTCACAGCGTCTTCGATGTGAGCTCACCTCGTCTGTACTAGATTATCTTAGCTGGTTCTTACATTGACTGTTTTTTTCCTCCTTTTTCAGTTCAGTAACGTCATTTTTTGTAAAATATTTTACGTAATGTTTTGTTTTCAGTGATTATATGATCTATTCTTTTATGAAATCATATTGCATTTCCAATAAGCGGGCAGTGACAGCACTGGCATAGAACAACACAGATCTGATCACAGATCTGACATAGAAGCAGATGTATAAATTGGAGACACCTATACGCTCCCAGATACCACCACTCTAAACCACAACTGATTAATATGGCTGCGTACTTTTAGCTTTTTCTGTCTATTTACTTTCTTTTACGTTCAGAAAGTAATGAGTTAGCTTCAATAGAATGCTAGCTTGAAACGTTTTAAAGGAATATATGACAGTGGTCCGGAAACCAAACAAACGTAATGGAAAGTAGATGAATGATCTTTCAGACGGCCTGTTGAACCTGTTCTGCTCTCCTCTCCCTGCTGTCAGTCAGTTGTCCTGATGGAGCGTCACACGGCGCTGCCAGGTACCGGCTCATCAGAAGCTGTTCCAACACGTCTCACTCCACTTAAAAAGTGCATTTTTGCTAGCAATAATGACCATGATATGTCAAGATTAGTCGACAGCCTGTGGTAAATGATCCCCACGTCAAACTGTTGGTACTTACCTACATACTTAAGAGGCCATATTCTTATTTGTTTTCACGACAGTGCTGTCAGTTCACAAGATAATGAACAGGCATTTGTCACATGTATTGAATTAATGGTTGAGTAAGTGTTTGAGGGAATGCAATGTTTAAAATGCTGAGCAGAGGGAACACCCTATCATACCTGAGTGAATCACACACACCCTGGGTGTGTCTTAAAGTGGCAGAACCTTAACCTGCTGCTCTGGCTTATTCATTGAATTTAGGCACACAATAAATGTTTAGCATTTTTAAATGTAAACAAAAAGAATATTGCTTTACTTCCATGTTGTGCTATATTCCTTCTAATGTATATTTAAAAAATGCTCTTCACTTTCAGGGCACTGCAGGAGTTAATCAGAGCGTAGTGTTTGATGTCCTGACCCAAGGGAGTGTGTCAAACATACTCTGTGTACTGATACATACGACACTGAGCCACTGGGGTCAGAGCACATGCACATGTAGTCTCAGCTTGTGCGTTGTTCCATCTTTCTATTAGTTTGATCACAATTCAAAATGGTCAGGTCTGTTTCATTTATACCATTAAACTACCTGATTCCAATATGCCTAATTTAGTAGTGAAATTGACGTGGTTTATCCAAACAGCCCGTCCTGGTCGCAGCACGATGTTCCTCTTGCTGAAAGACTGTGAGGGAGAGCTGATGGGTCCCTGTGACATGGCTCCTCTGTCGTCAGTGTGCTTCTGACTGCCACATTCTGCATTATTTGTGCAAATGCTCACACAGTTCACCTGTTTTTGTCCGTTTTTTGCTCAGGTTGTAGTCCTGTATCATAGCAAGTGAGTCTCACAGCCAAAGTCCCTCCCAGTGAAGACACCGGAGTGTTCTGCCTTATTGTCATTGCAGACAATGCCATGCTGTACAACATGTATTATTATTATACTCTTATATCTGCCTTTTATGCTTCAGTGCATTTCTGGGGCCTTTGACTCTCCCAGGTCAGGACTTCGCAGAGGAGTAGAGTTCTGAACTGTATGAGCTGGACTCTTCTCCTCTGTAGCCTCTCCACTCTGCTGTAATGTAGCATCCTGTTCTCTGCAGTGTGTGTGTGTGTGTGGTCTAACTGTGTGTCTCTGTGTCTGTAGGTTTCTGAGGCCCACAGCAGATGACCAGGACCAACAAGTCTCTCTTCCTGGACAAGCGACAAACAGAGTCTGTGTCCCCTTCCATAATAACTATCTATGTAATGGAAATGTATAGATTAACACACGCCTTTGTCAGCTGTGTCATCTATATATTCATATGTATATATAATAAAACTCTGCACTCCGAAAGAAAAGGAAGAATGAAAAAGCAGGTTTTTTTTGGATGTGGAGGCTGTAGCCCCCGCCCCAGAAGTTCATCAAGGACCTAAACCGTAAGGTGTGGTTCTCTTTGAATGTCGGGAAAGTCAGGGACGATCTCTCCTGAAAGGACCCTCTTTTCAAGTTAAAGGACCTAACGGGGGGACCCGTTAACGTTTGGTGCAGGCATTTTGAGCAAAACACTCGGCGTACATAAACGGACCGTAATCGTAATCGGGTCGCGTGGTTGCTGTCTCTGATTGAATACTTTGTGTTTTATTTTACCCTCGCACCTCTACTCCTCCACAGCCCGCGATGACCGCTAAATAGACTCCGAAAGTCAATCTTGCGACCTGAGGGATGACTTCGGTCAGGGGGGTGAGCTACCTTAGCCACGTCATTGCGGCACTTCAACAAACGCCGGACGGTCATGTGGTTTGTTCTTCTTTGCTTGACTGCAGTCGTCGAAGGTAGACACAATTTAGAAGGGTAGTCCTTAATAAGGCCACACGGAGGGGAGTGTCACTTACGACATTGCACGTGGCCCAACATTCTGAATCAAAACAACAGGAGTCCATACAAACATAATATAAACATGAGGTTTTTATTACAATTAGAACCGTTTAAAGATTATAGAGGTTAGACATTTACATTAATATGTTGTCATCACTTCCGTCCTATCGCTGCACCTAACAATTTTTTTTTCTCGTACTACACTCCAACAGGGTCTTATTTACGCGTCTCTTGTATCCTCTCGAATAGGACAGGTAGAGAGGTGTGGAGATACTATTGCTCAGTGGGACCCGCGAACACTGCGGCAATGTGAACTATTACTGTACACGACCTTCAGACTCATACATTACAAAAATAACATAAAACCTCTTTGGTAAATGTTTGTCTAATTATTATTATAGTTCTTTCCGAGATTTCTCTCCTCTGCTGCGGTCTCATAGTAGATTGGTAACTGACAACGGGTAGGCGACGAATATAACATCTGTCCGTTGGATTAGTGGTATCTTTTATTTGTTTTTTCTTTTGTCTTTCTTTTCAGGTTGTAAATAAAAAATTTGTTTGTTAAAAGTAAAATGTAAACCGGCTTTCCTCCCTCACTTTTTTAACTCACTTCTCCCTCTTCTACGACTCTCCCCCGGTTGCCCTCTCTTTTTTTCTCCCGGTCGACTGATACGAGAATTGAGAAGTCAAGGTTCTTGCGAATGTTTTTAGTGTACTTTCCTCCCCGTCTGTCCTACCTACCCTTACCCA